GAACCAGACTAAGATCTCAAAGGTACTTGTGAGCCAGGGAAGCAGCCACACCAGCCATCACCTTCTGATAGGCAGCCTGTGCCAGTAGAGTGAATGCCTGGCCAAGATGGCAGGCCATCACACACAATACATTGCCCAGGAGCTGTGGGGAAAAGGCAGATGCATAGACATTGTTAATAGAGCAATCCAGATTGGCTTCTGAGATCTGGGATGATACCCATTCATGTTGCACACACTAGCCCTGTCTGACAGACCAAATTTATTCCCACCAAATTAAAAATTAAGTAAATAAATAAGCAAGTATATTAACTAACTAATTAATTAACTAGGGCTATAAAGGTATGTTTCTTAGTAATTTGTTTTCCTATCTCCTTCTGATCGTTCCTCCTCAGATATCAAATTTTCTCTCCATTTACTCTGTTGTTACAATATTCAGATAATTTTTCAGTTTTGAAATGATTCACAGATTCTAGAAAACACCATGATCCTCCCCTCATTGACTCATTCATTTTTCACTTTCCTAAGGAAAATCAGTAAGATATGCTCAAGTGCAGAAGTAGCAAATGAGATAGGATATGCATAAACTGGGTTCTGTTTAGGGTAAAGACAATTTTGAAAAAAAAAAAAAAAAAATCAGAGAGAAAGAGCCAGGCTAAAGGAAGTGTAAAGAAAGATTATGAAAAAGGAAACATATTAAAAGAAAATATAATATAAAATTGTATAACTTTAAAAAGGCTGTAGGAGCTCTAGTAGTGTAGTGCATAAGGCACTTGACTGCTAACCAGAAGGCTGGCGGTTCAAACCCACTAACTATTCCTTGGAAGGAAGGTTGTGCAATCTACTTCCGTAGTGATACTGCGTTGGAAACCCAAGGAGGGGTCGCTATGAGTTGGGTCTGACTCTACAGCACATAACAACAACAACAATATGATGAAATCAGCTAAGTAAAAAGGGAAATGGAAGAAATACAAATAAGTGAAAGACCAACAGTCAAAGACTACAAGTGAAAAGAAAAAAAGTAGAGCATATCCCAGACTTAACTTAATCTGTAGTTCTCAGGATCCATGTGCAGCTTGTCACAGTGAAGTTCACACAGTTGGGCAAAGGTTCCCTTAAGTTTGCCCAGGTGCTTCAGGCCATCACTAAAGGAGTTCAGCACTTTATTGCCATGGGCCTTCACCTTAGCATTGTCCATGACAGCAGAAGGAGAGGAAAGGTCCCCAAAGTAGTCAAAGAATCTGTAAGTCCATCGGTAGACGACCAGTAGCCTGAGGGGTGAAAGCAACACAGGGAACACAGGGAGTCAGTGCCTGTCAGAAGCCTGGAAGACTGCTCTGTCTGTACATACTCAGCCCCAATCACTCCTTCTCAAGCCTGCCTTACAACCTAGAGACCTACCTGCCCGGAGCCTCACAGCCAGCTTCATCCATGTTCATCTTACATCTTGCCCCATAGGGAGTTAACAGGAGCCTTCTCATCACCAGTCAGGTGCACCACGGTGTCGGTTTGGCTAGTTGCTAGTGAATAGGTGTGTTTCAGAAGAAAAATGAGAAACAACTCTCCCTCTCCTTTCTTTATGCCCAGGTGTAGAAGACGCCTCCTGATATTACCAACATCTGTATTGGAACACGATGTCCTGTTTGAGTTCTGAGCTCTTCTAACACCTGTGTAACCAAGTTCCTGCAGGTAATTACTTGTTGAAGTAAGTTGTTTCTGTTGTGAAGGAAGGTTGGGCAATCTACTTCCATAGTGATACCATCTTGGAAACCCAAGGAAGGGTTGCTATGAGTCGGGTTCCCCTCAATGGCAGTGAGTTTGGTTTTGGTTTGGTTTTCCTGGATGAAACCTTAGTAGCTAATAAACCAATTTGTGAGACTATGTCTTATTTGCCTTTGAACTCATAATGTAACAGATAATATTCAGTCTACTTTCTGACTGGCAGGAAGAATAGATGTCAGAGGCAAAGAGTCAATAACCGCATAGAGCCAAAAGAAGAAATCAGTGGATCGGGAAATACTAAGATACCATTTACCCATATTGAAATGAATGTTTCCCCATTTAAATGCCCCATCAAACTTTTCTGGGAGTAGTGGGATACTCATAGTATAAGAAAAAGTTGTCTGGTTGGGGAATAATTCTTTCCTTAATTTACCAAATATATATTGAGTGCAAACTTTGTGTGGGGCATTATGCTTGTTGCCAGGCAAAGAAGAGTTTAAAAAACAAAATCTCAACACTGAAAAATGTTAATATTTACTATAAGTGTTAATATAAAATGTTAATATTTAATACAAGTGAGAAAGCTAAGTGTGCTAATAGAAAAAGTGCTAAGTGCTATGATCGGAAAACATCTACAAATACCAACATTTGTAGAAAGGGCTTCTAACCCACTTATAAGGTAGAGAGAAAGGCTTCCTAATTGAAATTACATTTATTCTCCTTGTGCTCATGTTCTAAATGAGCAGAAGAGATCAATAAAAATGACTGAATAAATAAATAGGAGAATGTCAGATGGTGTTATATAACAAGAAGGAAAAATATATACTGGCATAACAAGAGACTGTAGAAAATTAATATCACAATATATAGCCAAAGGAGGTTACTTTTGAAGTGGAACCTTAGTGACAAGATGAAATAAGACATAAGAAATGTGGACAAAGAAGTTCTGGAGAAAAGAATGATAAAGTGCAATAGTCTAAGACTGGGGCAAAAAAAAGAAATGAAAAAAAAATCTTGGTGTTTCGTTTTACAGAAAGAAACTACAAATCCAGAGGAAAATGTGTTAAGGAAAGAGTGTTGTTGTTAGGTGCTATAGAATTGGTTCCAACTCATAGTGACCCTCTATAAAATAGAACAAAACCCTGACTGGTTCTGCATCATCCTCACAATCATTGCCATGTTTGAGCCTATTGTTGCAGCCACTGTGTCAATTCTTCTTGTTGAGGGTCTTCCTCTTTTTCACTGACCCTCTACCTTACCCAGCATGATGTCCTTCTCCAGGGACTGGCCCTCCTGGTAATATGTCCAAAGTGTGTGAGATGAAGTCTCTGCATCTTTGCTTCTAAGAACATCCTGGCTGTACTTCTTCCACGACAGATTCTTCATTCTTCTGGCAGTCCAGGATATAGTCAATATTCTTCATCAACACCTTAATTCTAAGACATCAATTCCTCTCCAGTCTTCTTTATTAATTGTCCAGCTTTCACATGCATAGAAAATGATGAAAAATACCATGGCTTGAGTCAGGCACACCTTGGTCCTCAAAGTGACATTTTAGCTCTTTAACACTGTAAGAAGTATTTTGCAACAGAGTCACCTCATGCAATACAGCATTTGATTTCTTGGCTGCTGCTTCCATGGATGTTGATTGTGGATCCAAGTAAAATAACATTCTTAATCATTTCTGTCTTTTCTCCGTTTATCATGGTGTTACTAATTAGTCCAGTTGTGAAGATCTTTGCTTTCTTTATGTTGCGATGTAATCTGTAGTGAAGTTTTTGATCTTCCTCAGTAAGTGCTTCACGTCTTCTTCACTTTCAGCAAGGAAGGTTGTGTCATTTGCATATTGCAGATTTTTAATGAGTATTCCAATTTGATGCTTCCTTATTCTTCATACAGTCTAGCTTCTTAGATTATTTGCTTGGGATATAGATAGAATAAATATGGTAGATGGATATAACCCTGATGTTCACCAGGAAAGAGTGAGAGGAAGCACAGTTGGAAAGATGCATCCATGCCTTTTTGTCTGGATATTGAATGTGAGAATAAGAGTGGGCAATTTGTCTAAATGCAGGAAAAAGTCGTGGAGCATTATAAATCTAAAGGTAGTATGATCTCTGAACCATGAAGCACCTACCTCAAGGCTAATCTCCCTAACTTCCTATGCATCACAGCATACTTGCCCTAAACATGTATTAACTCCAGATCATACATAAACTTCCACCAACTATTCTATGCAATTTCTTTCCCTTTTAGTTCCAATATCACACGCTGACCTTTTGCTCAGACATGATGTGCTGATGCTTGCTTCTGAGCCTCTCCTTGTGTATTTTCCCCATATATAACCCCTCTTTTCCTTCAGCTTGGAGTGATCAATCTTCCATGAAATGTTGTAGCTAATATACATATTGGACATTCTTATTCCAGATGGTATTTCAATTTTCTTAGGCACCTTTCACTACTTAAATCACAAAGTTTTTCAGGAAAGTCCACGGTCAGTTTTTTAGAGTTTGCATTTAAAAAGGATTATCCTCCATTGTGGTGGCATAATGCCTAAGGCATTTGACTGCTAACCAGAAGGCTGCTGGTTCAAATCCACCAGCCACTTCTGAGAAGGAAGGCTGGGCTATCTACTTCCGTAGTGATACTGCCTTGGAAACCCAAGGAGGGGTCACTATGAGTCAAGTTCAACTTGACAGCAGTGAGTTTTTTTGTGATCCTCCATTCTGATGTCCAAACCTTTCCATCACCAATCTAGCCTCAAGAGGGCTGTGAAAAGCCAGGTGACCTTTGAAAATGAATTGCATTAAAGGAAATTAAATTACAATCCCTGAATGGACCTTGATCTTTTAGACTTGGCTTAAATTTTCTCCAGTGAACCTATCCATTCACTTCTGCCTTCATCTTTCCTCTGTTATTTTCCCTGAAGTCTTTTCCTACCCTTCAAAAATCTTCTAGTTCTGAGAAATACCTGTCCCATAGAGCCCTTTCTCTTCCACCAAGACTCTTCTAGAGTTTTTGCTTTTCCTTGAAGAACACCTAGTATATGTTTCTTTATTGCCTTTTCTTTTATTTTCTTGTCAAAAAACCCAAAAAAAGTTTTGCAAAAAGTGAATGAAGTGTACACACACATACTGACACAAAATTCCTTGGAACTCTTTTACTTAAAGCTACATGAAAAAAGAAACAACAGGAGTCCATTAAACCTTATTTCTTAGCAGAACACTTTTATTAATTGTGTTATCATGTAAAGAATAAGGCTTCTCCCTATTCTCAGAAGCTTAGTGATACTTGTAGGCCAGGGCATTGGCCACACCAGTTACCATCTTCTGCCAGGCAGCTTGCACTTGGGGGGTGAATTCTTTGCCAAAGTGGTTTGCTAAGATAATCACTAGCACATTTCCCAGGAGCTGTGGAGGTACAAAGAAACAACAGAGACATTCATATGGATTCTAATGGTGAGCTGAATGATACAGTCTGGGCTCTAAGCCCAACTGTCACTCAGACCTAAGTCTATGTCAGCTTCCTTAAAGCCCATGGTCTCACTTAGTTATTAAACATAGCTAATTTCCTTCCCTTTCTGTACTGGTCCTTACCCATAATTTCACTTTTTGAACTTCTTACCAGCACCATCTTCACACACTTAAAAAAAAAAAAAAAAAGGAAAAACAAGAACTTCCAGCTTTCTATTCCCTACCCTCCTCAGCCATATATTCATTCCAGTTATTTCCCTTCCTCAGGTATGCTTTATACTACTCCTGGAGTTTTAGGAGATAAGTTTGAAAGGCAGCATTAGTAGATTCTGTACAAATGTCCATCCAACATAGGAATAGCTTTAGCAATATATGCATGGCCACCCAGGTTTCTTTGTTGTAAGTAACCAATATATTCCTGTATGTATCTTTCCCCTAGACATTCTTTTTTTCAACCTCCAATGTATGGCAGTGGTGGTGATAATATATGGGGGAAAAAGAAAGACAAAGTTCTCTCCACAGGATTCCAATTACTAAAAGACATTTTCTTCATCTCTATACAAGTTTCCTCTAAAAGCCAACAGAACAAGTCACTTTAGATTTCTAGAATGCTCCTAGGATTCTGTTACCACACCACTTGGTTTGAATTCAGCTCTCTGAAGTTCCTTTATTATCAACCCAAGATCTCCAAGTATCTCACAGCCCACAGATGGTCTTACCTGTGCTCCTGTCAGTGCTCAGTTGTCTAAACTTCATGAGGATAAACTGGTGGCATAGTGACTAAGGCATTTGACTGCTAACCAGAAGGTTGATGTTAACCCATGGAAGAAAGACTAGGCAGTCTACTTCCGTGAATATTTACTGCCTCGGAAACCCAAAGTGGGGTCATCATGAGTTGGAATCGACTCGATGGCAGTGAGTTTGGTTGTGGGTTTTGGAAACACAAGAGAACATGAACAAATCCAGCACTCACCCGGAAGTTCTCAGGATCCACATGCAGCTTGTCACAATGCAGCTCACTCAGCTTGGCAAAGATGCCCTTGAGGTTGTCTAGATTCTTAACAGCATCTCCAAAGGAGGTCAGCACCTTCTTGCCATGAGATTTGACCTTGGGATTCCCCATTATGGCAGAGGCAGAGGACAGGTTGCCAAAGGTGTCAAAAAATCTCTGGGTCCATGGGTAGACAACCAGGAGCCTATCAAATGGGACCATAACTGATGAAAATCAGAGACTCTCAGAAATCTTAGGGAGATATCTGGTCATCTTGACAGGCTCATATTCACCCATCTTTTCCCTGCATTAAGACCCAAAGCCTACCTTCCCAAGGCCTCGCCTCCAGCCTCTTCCACATTCACCTTGCCCCACAGGCTTGTGATAGCAGCCTTCTCTTCAGCAGTAAAATGCACCATGATGTCTGATCCTGGAGTTTGTGGTGATCACAGACGTGTCAGAAGGATATATGTACTGCTGCTAGAACATGTGGCTTTTTATTCTTTGTCTCTGGCCACTGGTCCTTTGTTCTTCCTGTTGCTATGAGGCTATTGGTCAAGGCTAGGCTGTCCCCCCCAGGGGTGGGGTTTAGTCTGGGAAGGGTTAAGATGGACATTTGCATCTGTGATAGTGTCTGGGGGGCCTCTGGGAGGATTCTGGTGCTCTTTTCTCTCTCTCTCTCTCTCTCTCTTTCCTAGTTTCAGATAAATTATCCAAATTTGTTTCTCAATTCTTTCCTTTAGCTACTTTCCTTCTCCTCCCACCGTACAAAACTCTGGGACTTCTTTGCCATCTTTTCCTATATTCTTGTCACTAAACCCAGGAATGCTTATATATTAAAGTTGAAGAACGACCAACAATCTGGAAAGTTCACAGAGTGTAAGGTTCTTGTGAGCACAGGTACATGAATTCCGGTAGGATCAAGTATAAGTCTCATTCAGTCAAGGAAGAATTCCAAGGGAAAACTGTTGTGATGATCTTTGGAATAGATGCTCTGTGGCTCAGATTGAGCCTGTTTTCTTTAGTTCACAATAATCAGGGGTAAATGGTTCCTATGAAATATTAATTTGAGTGCAGGAATATAGTAGTGTTAAGTAATATAACATAGGACTGAACCCTTATATCAGAATCTACATACTTATATCTGTGTGAAACAAAGAAAATCTACTTCTCTGAATAAGTATTCACCTCCATGTAAGTGCAAGTGTGTCTGCAGTAGATTGTGCATATTTCCTGCTGCATAAGTGTGTGTGCTGGCTGGTAGTCCCAGGTTTCCACTCGGTGTAGCTCTTCTACTCTTGGTGACGACAGAAGTAAAAGGTTTCTTGACAGGTACTATAGATTTGAATGAGTTCTATGTAGTGAATGCTGGGTCCACTTGTAAACCAATCTTAGTCCAAGATATATAACATGAGGTAGTATCTCCTTTACTTCTGCTGTGAGATTGTTCAACCGACTCTAAAAAAGCAGGGGCTCTTTTAGTTGACAAATAGACTACACATTGTCACAACTGGAACATCAGTACATATTAGACACCTTTCTCCCTAATTCAATGCAATTTTTTACAGGTCACATTTCTCATATGTTGGGGAGAGTTAACATATCTAGGTTTGCAGTGTTTTTGTTTGTTTGTTTGTTTTTTGATATGTTATTTAATTTCTCTCTGAAAGTCACAGTCGATCTCAAACCTTGCCCGGATTGTGATGCCTGAAACTTGGGAAGTACAGCATGGTCACTTGCCCCTGAGACTAGACACATTGATTATATACAAATCCACGGTAAGAAGTGCTCTGTGCAATTAGAGGGTATCTCTGTCTTTATATTAATTATGCCTTCTAACCTATTTGTTTGTATGAAATTATGATATTATGATTTCAGTCTTCATGAGCTCATGTTAAGTCTTTATCTGTTCATTGATGAGGATGGCTAAAAGCCCTGAAAGAGAAGATTGTCATGATCTCAGCACCCATTTTCCTATAATAACCATGATATTCCAACTAAAGGTGAGTGGGAAAGGTTTTTCTTTGTATAGGGTACAGAATTTTATAATCTAGAAATAGTTTTAGATCTTTGACCATATCAGACAATCCTACTGGATTCAGTGAGTAGCGCTGGCTCAGAAGGATAACTCAGAGGCCAAGCCTCCAAAAGCCTTAATATATGAGTGACTCTTCATTGCTCCTTTGCAGATGGAGGAACTATTATGATCTTTCTTGTTTGTGGATGACCTCCCTTTGTTCCAGAAACCCAAAGAGTGATCCAATAATCATATGCAACTATTGCTTTTCTCTTATGTTGTTGAGGTAATCACTTCCAAAAGCTTGTTGATTACTCTCTGTTCATAGGTGTCCACCCTTCCATTTTTCCCATTAACTGTGTCTGATGTTATATTGGTCCTCAACTACCAGCTTCATTGTTCTCAAAAGGAATATAATGTGTTTTCAAACATTCATTCAACAAGCTTTTATTGAACAATGATGTGCCATACATTGTTCTGTCATGAGAATTTAAGATAAATGACTTAGAGAAGAAAACTATCCTCATAGAGTTTATGTTCTTTAATTTATGGCATCAGAATGAATAAGTAAACCAATTAAAAAAATAATTCCAAATAAAATTATTTGTTATGAAGAAAATGAATATCTGAACTTTATGTGACTGGATATGATTATGTCAGAAATAACCTTTTAAGGAGGTATTATTTGAGCTGAAACAAGATGGAACCTACCATGGCAAGATACAGAGAAATAAATTTTCTCAAAGTTTGAAGAAAAAGTGCAAAGCTCTGAGGCAAGAAAAATCAAACAGTATGACAGATAAAGAATAAGTTCATGAGGTCAATATGTACTACTAAAGGTGAGAAGGGAGCTCCGGTAGCATAGTGCCTAAGGCACTTGACTGCTAACCAGAAGGCTGGCGGTTCAAACCCACCAGCCACTCCTCGAAAGGAAGGCTGAGCAATCTACTTCCATAGTGAATACTGCCTCGGAAACCCAAAGAGGGGTCGCTATGAGTCAGGTCCAACTCAATGGCACATAACAACAACAACAACAAAGGTGAGAATGACAAAAGATGATGTTGTAGCAGAAGCACAGGTTTAATAACTTAGAATCTGTCTTCAGTGGTGTGGAAGTGGAATCCATTACAGGTTTTAATTCTGGTAATGACATAATTTCTAATCTTTTTGTACTCTTAGATAAATTAATAACCTATGGGGCAATCTACTTCAGTAGTGATACTGGCTCGGAAACCCAAGGAGGGGTCACTATGAGTCAGGTCTGACTCAACGGCACATAACAACAACAAGAAGAATATCCTGTACTTTACAACACTATTTTGCTCAGGTGGCTTCTATTGCATATTGATAAGAATTAGTTATTCATAATTAAATATATTAAGTCATCCAGTCCCATTTGTATGTGTGCATATGTACATGTTTGTCTATGTTAAATGTGAATTTGTTTTCAATGAAGGTATATGTAAACTGGCAATACCTAGATCTAAAGGTAGATCCCTAGTAATAAAGAATGTACTTTCCGCTCACCACTCCATTATTACCATGCTTGACCCCTGCAAGGTCTTCAGCTTTAGGAGAGCTGGATTATTAGTTGAGGGACAAGAAAAAAAGAAAGAGATCGACTGATTAAAAATGCTACATCAATGTCGTTTGTTGACTGACTGACTAGATACAAAGTTTGAGTGCCATGAACAGCACTTATTTAGTGAGCTTAACGAAAGACTGTGGGGTTTAAAGAGACCAGTGCTCTTTATATCCTGTGATAGAATAACCATTAGGCTCTCAGTCTTATTTTGTGCCTGAAAGAAAGTAATACACAGGACAAATTCTGATCAATGTATGAGGGCAATGGAATGCCTAACAGTTATGTTTGTCAGGATCTGACATTCTAGGTTGGAAAGTGTGAAGGTCTCAAGCCCTGAGATGAGAGCTTGATTATGACTCTGAAAGTCAAGACACTCTGAGCACCCCAGAAATAATTCCCCCAAGAGTGATTCAGTTAATGTCACTCTCACAAAGGGGACAGCTAGAATTTCCATGTCAGTGCATGGCCATCTCCTGTGGTGTTCACCCAGGCTAGGGGCTTTCAGTCATCTATCACCCCCTACTTCTGATGCTCCACAGTCAGTCAAATCCCATGACTTCCTTCCTCTACCTTTGCCCATCCTTCACATTTTGAAGACTCTAATAGAAGGTTGAGCAATCTACTTCCATAGTGATACAGCCTCGGAAACCCAAGGAGGGGTCGCTATGAGCCGGGTTCAACTTGATGACACATGATGACAACAACAACAGCAACAGTGCTCACCTTTAGTTAGGCCATCATGACTGCTCCCTTAGAACATTACTCATGTCTAGTTTGATAACTTCAAATATATATTCTTTTGTGTGTAAGCAGAGTACTTTCCTCCAAAATCCTATTCCTTTAGTCATTTAACATCTTAAGGGTATTTATTGGTTGATGTTACCAATAGGATACTAATAGGTTCCATTTTATATTCAATGTTCTGCATTAGCTGGTCTTTCCTGATATTCAATCTTATTTTTTACTCTTCTCTCTACTTCCAGCCATGGTGGTGCAATGGTATGTGCTTGGCTGCTAACAGAAGGTGACAGTTTGAACCCACTTGGCCCCTCCTGATGGGAAAGATCTGGCAATCTGCTCTCCTAAAAGAATACAGTATAGAAAATCCTATGGGGGAGTTCTTCTCTGATGTGTGTGGTTGCTTTGAGTTTGAATTGACCAGATGACACTCAAAAACAATAATTACTTCCAGAGAGCCAGTATCATGCCAACCACCAAGTCATAGCTTGCTGGTTTTAGACTCTGAGGCTTTGTTAGTACCTCATGTCCTACACAAAGTCTTCATCAACCCCTCAAAAAAGTTCATACTTATGTTTTACCTCTGACTTTATTTTAGTGCATGTTACATTCTATCAGAGGATGATACACAATAATGTCATGTGTGTTAGCTTTGGCTCCCCGTTGAAAAAGTGGAACGTTTCAGGAAAGAGTAGGCTGATGCAGGGAGCCATTCTTGGAAAGCTACTTAGCTTCTCCAAACTCAACCTCTTATCTCCAATTCAACTTCACATACTAGCACTTAAAAGTGTGCATTAATGCAAATTGAATAGTAATCCTAGATGGAGGATCCTAAAAAGCTTTTTATTTTTTACCTGGATTCTTTCATGTACCCCAAATCGGCTTTCTTTTTTTCCCTGACACACTGCTTTTCACCTTTATCCTTCCCCTTTTAGAGTGATTTCTTGTCACTATTCACCATAAGTCTTTGACCACTTAACTAATACCCTTTCCCCACCCCCAAAAATCTCTTCCTCTTTTCTGTCATCTTCCCTGACCCTTCAGAATCCTCCCATAACTTCTACCTTCTTTTGTGAGTT